TCTCATTCTATTTATTTGTCAATATGTTTAATTTTTGTTAATCTCTTTACATTTATTTGTGGATCATAATCTATTTATTTGGAATTAAGCAACAATTCTATCTCCATATTGATTGCACCTTTTCCATTATAGGACAATATTTGCCCCCTAAATTGATGTTCCAATGCATTTTTTATCTTTATAAATAGAATATTAATGTTTAAAAAAAAAAGTTCAATAGATTAATATGCAACGATGATAAAAAGTGATTCTTTTAAATACTAAAAGCGCCAGTAGGTGGCGGTAAGTCACTGTCTTAATGCGTGAGTCATCGAGTCATTTGTTCATTCAGTAACTAAGCAAGTGGCTGTATTTATAAATGAATAATTTAATCAATGACTTTTGCGAACGATTCGTTCACGAAACACCGCAAAACTCAGCATTTTGTTCGCGTACCCCCTCTGTCGCCTCACGTACCCCAGTTTGGGAACCACTGTTCTGCATTAAATATTTAGCTAACAACAGTCTGTTACCTAGCAACAGTGTATGTTAACGTTAGCTCAGTCAACATTAGGCTAACATTAACAGGTGTAGACAGAAAATATGATTACCCTGACCTGAGCTAATTTACTGAATCAACCAACTCACATATCCTTTCTTTCTTTCTTTCCGTCCATGAGGACATTAAAGTAATCTGTTGCTGCTTCTGGCGTTTCATCGCTGACTGTGCCGCAACCGCAATACCTGCTCATTAGAACTTTCAGTGGGCTATTTTTAAGAGTGTGCACGCGACGTTCCTGGACGCGGTTGCGTGCGTCTGTGCCCTGCTCTGCTCCGAGGCGATGACGGCGTGCGGTTAAAAAAATCATAACAAACGAACTTGAAAGTGGGGGAGACACAAACGTGATTTTGAAAAGTGGGGGGGACATGTCCCCCCTGGAAATTACGCCCCTGTTATGCTTTATTAATAAGATATGTCACGTGTGTACTGTCTCGTGTGCATTAAGCGTGTTCTTTAACGTGTAAATAAACGCGTTTCGTTCATATTTTGAGCTTATATGCATATCTGCACATAGTGTATGCTTTACAAATTTGTCTTTATCACTGTCTTGGTACATTAAGCCACTTAAGCATTTTAGAAAGTCCCCTGTTCAAGTTCTGCTAATCCACAAGCCTAGTGAGAGTCATGCTCGCAAAGAAGGTAATTATTAAACCAACAAAATCAAACCGTTCAAAAACACACAGCAATGTGATTCTTTTATTAAATGAGAGTTTAATCAGTGACATTAACAGATTTACTATTCGGTGTCTTCTCTGCGACCTCCTTCCCTTGGTGTTTTTACACATAGAAAAGGCGAAAAAACATATTGCATTGTCCAGTTTTCTCTCAGAACGATGATCTGAGTTCCTGTTGCAATTCTCGATGCAGCATGAAGGACATACACTGGTGACATTTTTCACATTCACGACAAACAATCAAATACTGCCCTAAACTCAATAGCGGAAAGGCAGCGCTGTCCTGCAAGTATGGCGGATAAACAAAGCAGTTTCCCAGAACTCAACGCGGCGTTACGTCACATTCTCATTCTTTATTGATTAAATGTTTCTGGTAAGCATCGATGTGCGGGAAACACAAGAACACTGTACAAAAACCTGCTGCACAGTATTGCATCTGTATTACACAAATGTGTTTCGTAACTGGTGGACTCAACAAATGTTCAGGAGGACCATTTTTACCTCCTTTCAATCTATTATGTTAGGGATAATGTACAGTTATTGTCAGCCACATACAGTATAAATTAATATGAAATTGATTTTACAGTTAAAGTTTGAGTTTATTTTAATCTTACCTGTAGCTATTGCATTTTAAATCTTCCGCTAAGGAAAAAAAAACAGTCCACAACAACATAAAGTGCATGGCGGTCAAAAATCACAGATTTCTTTATTTCAATGAGATAAATATTCTATATTTTAGTTTGATATTGTTTTTTATTTAATGTTTTGTATTTTTATGGGATGTATGGTACTAAATTATATTTATGCAGTTATAATTCATTTATTGCTTGTTAACCACTTTTTAAGAACAGACCTAAAAATGAAATTTCCAACTTAAACGGATTTAAATCTTGAATGCTTTGGTGCACAGACTTAAGTTTGGTCTGTTTTGAAAGAAGACACTTCACAGATTATTGCTAAAGTGAGAGAGAAAAAAAGTGAAACAAAAAAATTATAGAAGTTTAAGTTTATTTTTTAATGAAAAATGCACAAAAATACTATTTTCAAATGTTATATGAATTATATCAAATTACATCAAGCACAAGACACAAACTCATCTCACATCTTTGAATAAATATAAATCCGACATTTCTATTCCCGATATATATTAAGGGGATATGTTACATTATTATGGTTATATGTTAATCCTGATCCACACTATGATAGAGGATGATTTACCCATCTTCCTGTCTCTTTGCACCGCACACACTGTATGTACAGAATGTAAATGTGTTAAGTACAATCACACATGTTTGACGGAAATGAAGATTGTCAATAACCGAATGCTGACATTGGGAACACAGTGTTAAATATTGCTCTCGCATATGCTACTGAATAATAAATACAAAACTCAGTTTGGTAAAATCTTTTTACAATAACATCCTGGAGAGGGCAGTATACACACACCACTTAAAATCTTTATTCATTTTCTGTATCTGTTTAACCTCTCCTCCTCACGAACCATCCTATTTCTAACTGAAACAAGCGACTGAATGAATGATTTATCTCTTTCTCCTGTTTCAGTTACACATAAAAATGATAACCTCTATGTTGTTGAAGCTGTTCATTTTTGCATCGTTTTATCGTGGTAAGTGGGGGAATTTGTATTTTCATAATTACTTCAAACTGTTTTATAACCTTATTACAAGTAAATGTTTACAAAAAATGTTTACAGTTTATTATTACATTTTTTAAATGTTTTTACAGAGTGTCATGGAGAAGACAGTGTTGATCAGCCAGATAAAAACATCATTGAATTTGAAGGAAGATCAGTAACATTACAATGCAAATATAAAACAGCTTTATCACAGCCAGAACTTTTCTGGTACATCTGGAGAGCAAATGACTTTCCTAAATACATCCTGAGGAGAAACAAATATGGAGGAGCAGATAATGATGCTCAGTTTCAGGAGAGATTTCACTCTGAAGTGTCATCAGATTCAGTTACACTGACAATCAAGAATCTGTGTGTGTCTGACTCTGCTGTGTACTACTGTGCTCTGAAGCCCACAGTGACTGAAACACACACAAAAAAAAACAGAGCAAGTGCTCAATTATATGACGAGATGCAAATCCACACGTTACTGACTTTTATACCACAACAATAACATGCATATAATTAAAAATATTTAAATTAAAAATTAAATTATTTATTGTTATGCAAAGTTGTGCACTCATCACTATACATTACATAAAGTATGTAATGTGCTGACAAATGGTTTTAATATTCTTTTGTGAACCTGTATAAAAATGATTTCTTGACCCGCACAATCTCACATTTATTATATTAAATGTA